CATTTGAGCCACACAGCAGCTCAGCTGTGTGTGGGGTGGAGGTGGGGGTGACTACCACATTTTCTGCAGAGAAACAGGAAGCTCAGATTGCAGGAGCATCTGTTGGAAAGCCTCAGGGCCTGGACCAGACCAGTTCCACCACTGGGGTGTGGCAGGGGCCTAGCCAGTGTCCCCCGTTCCCATTCGCACTCCCACATGCTCCAGTTTCTCTTCAAGGGGGGCAGGGGCGACTGTTCCCTTGTCTCAGACTAGCTTTGTCCACAAGAAAGGGAGGATTACCAGCATTGTGATATAAAAAGACAGATATCAGCCAGGTGCGGTGGCTCACGCTTGTAATCCCAGCACTTTGGGAGGCCAAGGCAAGTGGATTACCTGAGGTCAGGAATTCAAGACCAGCCTGGCCAACATGGTGAAACCCCATCTCTACTAAAAATACAAAAAATTAACTGGGCATGGTGGTGGCAAGCACCTGTAATCCCAGCTACTCGGGAGGCTGAGGCCGGAGAATTGCTTGAACCCTGGAGGCAGAGGTTGCAGTGTGCCGAGATCATGCCGTTGCACTCCAGCCTGGGCCTCAAGAGCGAGACCTTGTCTCAAAACAAAAACAAAAACAAAAACAGCCAGGTGTGGGTGGCTCACACCTGTAATCCCAGAACTATGGGAGGCCGAGGCAGGAGTTATCACGAGGTCAGGAGTTCGAGACCAGTCTGGCCAAGAGAACAGCCTGGCCAATATGATGAAACCTCGTCTCTACTAAAAATACAAAAATTAGCCGGGCATGGTGAGGGGCGCCTGTTAATCTCAAGCTACTCGGAGGTTGAAACAGGGAATCACTGGAACCCGGGAGGTGGAGGGTTGCAGTTGAGTCAAAGGATTCATTTGGGCACCATTGGCCTCCAGCGTGAGGGAGACAGAGCAAGACTCCGACTCAAAAAAAAAAAGAAAAAAAAAAAAAGGCTATATATCTGGTCTTATCCGGGTTTCTGGCCCAGAACTAAAAACTCTGGGAATTTTCCTGATGATGGGAGACGAGGAGCATCTTTTGTTATCATAAGGAAATCTCTTTTTTCACCACACCTGAGTTCACACTAATGAGATGACTTTTGGAGGATGGGGCTGGTGGCCAGAGAAATCAACCACGTGATTAGGGGATTGCAACTTTCATCCCTACCCCAGACCTCGGGGAGGGAAGAGGGGCTGCAGATTGAACCAATCACCAGTGGCCAATGATTTAATCAATTCTGCCTAATGAAGCCTCCATCAAAACCCTAACTAATGGGGTTTGGGAGGTTCCAGGTCAGTGACAGCACCCACATGCCAGGAGGGGGTGGCTCAATCCAACTCCACTAGGACAGAAGCTCCTGTGCTTGGAATGGTTCTGAACCTCACCCTCAGTAGCTCATCACCTGTTTGTCTATATCCTGTGTGACATCCTTTATAAACCATTTTGAAGTTCCCACAACCCCCTCCTTAGGTTTGATAATTTGCTGTAATGGCTCACAAAAATCAGGGAACGTAAGTAAAGTAAGTAAACCTAAGTAAATGTTTCCCTAATTTTTTTTTTTTTTTTTTTTTTTTTTTTGAGACAGAGTCTGACTCTGTCACCCAGGCTGGAGGGCAGTGGCGTGATCTCTGCTCACTGCAACTTCCACCTCCCGAGTTCAAGTGATTCTCGTGCCTCAGCTTCCCGAGTAGCTGGGATTACAGGCACCCGCAACCACGCCCAGCTAATTGTTGTATTTTCAATAGAGATGGGGTTTTGCCATGTTGGCCAGGCTGGTCTCCAACTCCTGATCTCAAGTGATCCACCCGCCTCGGCCTCCCACAGTGCTGGGATTACAGGCCTGAGTCACCACGCCCGGCCTGTTTCCCTGATTTTTGTGAGCCATTACAGCAAATTATCCAACCTAAGGAGGGGGTTGTGAGAACTTCCAAATTTGGGCTGGTCAGAAGTGCAGGTGACAAGCTGGGACCTAGAACTGTTATCTAAAGCAGGGGCAGTCTGCTGGGACTGAGCCCTTCGAAGACCTGTGGGGTCCGGACTAACTCTGGGTAGTGAGTGTCAGAACTGAATTTTAGGACAGCCGGCTGGTGTCTGGAGAGGTGGAGAATTGGTGTGGGCGCCCCCCTCCCCACTAACATTGGTGTCAAAAGTACTGGGAATGTAGAAAGTTTTTCCTTGTTAGGTATCCCAAAAGATCTTCCACACCTGGATCCCAAGGAAGGCAGCTGGGAGGGCAGGAGGTGGCTGGCTTCAGAGAGCCAAGGAGGACTGGGAAGTCAGAGAATGGGTGTGTGGCTCAGCAGTCAGGGGCAGTGGCACCCTTTTCCCCAACCTCTTCAACTAAACGCATGGTTGGGCTTCAGCACCACATGGATGAAGGTGCCACCACCAGCCCTGAGAGTCACCGACATTTGTGCAGAGCTTCCCCAGTGTTGCACCAGGATGCAGGACCAGGGTCAGGGACTCCAAGCCAGTGTGGAGTAGGAAAGCCCTAGGCAATCCGTCAGTAAGGTCCTTCCAGCCTCGGCTGGAGTCACATCCTCAGCCCCACTTTCTCCAACTCTTTCTTGGAAGCCCAGAGGTGCCACACGCAGTTGCTGGCCACACAAGCTCACATAGTCCCCAGGGTCCTGGCTGAGGCTGGGGAGACCCCTATTGGCCACAATGTGGGGATGAAGTTCCCACCCACAGTCACTGTAGCAACCACCCTGTGCTGAGAACCACACTCCAGGGACCAGCACGCACTAGAAAAATGTCACACAGGAATACACACCCAGAGAGCACTCGAGAAACATTTATTGAGCACCTACTATGTGCCAGGCCCCAGGCAGGACACTTGGAAAACCAAGTCAATACAACCTGGTCCCTGCCGAGGAGCTCACAGTCTAGAGGGCTAAGCCATTAATCACAGAACAGCAGAGGTGCATTTAGCTTCACAATTTTACAACAAACGTTTACATACGTTTTCTCAAGTGTAAACACCCAGCAACACAGTCATGTTGTTTTAAAAGCACATTGGCAGAAATGTAAACACAAGTCACAGGATTGAAAGGATGGGAGAAAACCATTTGCAGTATTTGAGATTGCAGAACCAGATTTTTAGCATTATTTATTCTTTCCTATCAGGTAGGATCCAAGTTTTGCCAATCTGCGGATCATGGTGTTTGAGACACGGGAGTTCCGTGGCCTGCCTGCCGTCATTCAGTGGGGGAGTCACCCTAGATACAAGGCATCCTGAAGCCTTGGCCACTGCCTTCTGTCCACCACACCTCACTGTGTTTTAATGTCCCCTAGACAAAGACCCTGTACATTTTTAGGCTCCTCCTGAGCTTGTCAGATGGGGAGAAGGGACCATGTCTCAGGAGCCCACCAAGCCGTGAGATCCCTCATACCTGGCTTGGCACATGGTGACACCCCATCAGGCGAGCATGCAGCACACGCTACCCAGGCCCAGACCCTGTCTGCCTGAGATGAACTTCCTGGTTAGTCTCAAAATGTGGCAGCGTTGGCCGGGCACGGTGGGTGGCTCACACCTGTAATCCCAGCACTTTGGGAGGCTGAGGTGGGTGGATCACTTGAGGTCAGGAGTTCGAGACCAGCCTGGCCAACATGGCAAAACCCTGTCTCTACCAAAAAATACAAAAATTAGCCAGGCATGGTGGCGCACGCCTGTAATCCCAGCTACTTGGGAGGCTGAGGCAGGAGAATTGCTTGAACCTGACAGGCGGAGGTTGCAGTGAGCTGAGATCGTGCCACTGCACTCCAGCCTGGCGACAGAGCAAGACTCCATCACACACACACACGGACACACACAAAAGTGGCAGTTTCAGTGTCCTACAGGAATAGGTACCCTTCAAGTCTCACCTGTGCCCCCACTTCTCCTGTGTGCACATTTGTCAGCAGGTGCAGAGGTGTACAGTCCCGCTTATCACAACTGCTCTAAACAGGACAGTGCAGCTGGGGTTTGAGAGGAGGCTGCCTGTGTGCTCCATCGCACCAAAGGGAAAACCGCACACAGATCTGGCACCTGTTGGTTTAGTTTATGAAGGTAAGGAATCCGGTGAAGAGACCCAAAGTGGCCTCCTCGTGCTCCAGGGAATAGGGGAAACTAGCAAGCGTTTCGGTTTAATTAGGCCAAGGGTTGGGTGGGATGAAGGTAGAAGCTGAGGGTGCAGGCCTGCAGGGCTGGAGAAGGCGGGGCTGAGTTGAGGACCCCTGTGCCTACCTCACCATCACAGGGAAAGGGAGGAGAGGCATCTTGCCACCTGTAAGCTGGCTCTGCCATTTCACTTTAGAAAGCTCAGGATAAGCGGGGCGCGGTGGCTCACGCCTGTAATCCCAGCACTTTGGGAGGCTGAGGCGGGTGGATCGCCTGAGGTCAGGAGTTTGAGGCCAGCCTGGCCAACATAGTGAAACTCTCTCTCTACTAAAAATACAAAAAATTAGCTGGGCATGGTGGTGGGTGCCTGTAATCCCAGCTACTAGGGAGTAGGGAGGCTGAGGCAGAAGAATCACTTGAACCCAGGAGGCGGAGGTTGCAGTGAGCTGAGATCATGCCACTGCACTCCAGCCTGGGCAACAAGAATGAAATTGTCTCAAAAAAAAAAAAGAAGAAGAAAAGAACAAGCAAGCAAGCTCAGGCTAATTCCCACCTCCCTGGTTGTGAGCATCCCTGGGCTTCTACAGTGACCTCTTCTGGGCAGAGGCCTACCAGGTGAGCCAGAAGGTACAATGTTGAAGAAAATTGTTTCTGACCCCATTTCCAGAGCACAGAGGAGGCGAGGGGGTGAGATGCCCACAGGTGACTGACAGCACAAGTCAGCCCTCGTCCCTGGGCTCCACAGAGGCCTGCCCTGGTGCTGTCCCACCTTCGGGAGAGGTGGCTCCCCGGCTCCCCCTAAGACCATCTTCCAACCCTCCTGCCCCTCAAGGTTGCTCTAGGCAGCCAGGTATCCTGCTAGCAAATCCCTTTCCCCAATGATGGCCCAGACGGAACTCTTAATAAAAAAAAATAATTTATTGTCAACAAAGGTGATATATACAACAGGAAAACAGATGTAAATGAGAACAGGAGTGAATGGGGTGCCCAGGCCCAGCTTCAGGCCTCTGCAGGGGTGGGACAGGAAGAGGTAATGGAGGCCTCCTGGTTTAGGAGCCTGAACAAGTGGGGAGGGGAGGTGTCCCCCGAGGTAGTGGGACTCAGTTCAAACCCCCTTATGACCACTCTTGTGTAAGGCACTGTGCCAAGGGAGAATGGTGGGGAGCGGGGGGAGGGTGGGAGGAGGTCACGGGGGACAGAGAGGTGGGGGTCAGCGAAGGACTGGGGTAGGTGTTCTCCACAGGCCCAGTGCCCTACTGCACAACAGCCTCAACCACCCTTGCCGACCTCAGGCCTGGCTAGGAACAGACACTTTTCAGTGCGCCGAAATAACCGTGGATGTTGCCCCAGCCCCCTCCTGCCCTGGCACTTGTTTCTACTCTCTCCACCAGATAGGTGAGCCAGGCAGCTCTGAGTTATAAGCCACAGGGGGACGCTGCCTCCTCCCTCCCCCGCTCCCTCCCTCCCCAGGAAAGCAAGAATTTACACCCCATTCCCTTTCTCTGGCTTCCCTGCCACAGTGGTGCTGGATTCTGACAGAACCGTGGGCCAGTCTGAGGTGTCACCTGCTCCCACACGCTTGGTGCCCTGGGGGTGCCTGGACCAGTCTTGCAGGAGGCTGACCGCTGGGGGCTCCTCCATCCGCACGCGGATAACCTGGAGATCCAGTGTCCCGCGGAGCCCCGGAGGGGGAGCTGGGCAGGGATGAGAGCAGAGAGCAGTCAGAGCCTCCCAGACACCCCACCACGAGGATGCTCCCTGGAAGCGCTGCAAACTGTACCCCCATTTCCAGGGCTTTCATTATGTCCACAGCCCAGTGCCTGGCATGAGGGGAAGTCCAAGGATGGCAGGAAGCTCCACTCCTGGGTGATCAAGGACCGCCACCGGCTAGAAAATGAGGCTCACAGCCTCCCTAGGGATAAGCCACATGAAGCCAGGCAGCCTTCCTCCTGCGTGTATTTCGGCACAGGGTGCCTGGTGCTGCGTGCCTCTCCCCATAACTCCTACCTGCAGCCAGCTCCATTTTATCTCAAACTTACTGGGCATCCTAGCCTAACGCGTTCTGCCTGAGTGGGGCAGAGGTGATGCGGTGGAAACACCCAGAACAAATCTGAGGCATAGCTGTGCCCACCAAGGAGTTCATGAGGGACTACACAGGGTGGAGAAAAGACCCCTGGTGAACTTCCACCAGGCTCTTCATCTCCTGAGTGTCAACACCGACATCACCAAGATCAGGCGTCCACCTTAGCAGTATGGAGAAGGCACTCACTGGCCTCGAGGCAGACGAAAGAGGACTGAGGACTGCCGTGGCTGCACGCAGCCATAAAAACCAAGCATGCAATAGGGATGTGTGCAAAAGTTACGTTACAATAGGGCTGGGCGTGGTGGCTCCTGCTTGTAATCCCAGCACTTTGGGAGGCGAAGGTGAGCAGATCACTTGAGGTCAGGAGATTGAGACCAGTCTGGCCAACACAGAGAAACCCTTTATCTACTAAAATACAAAGAAATCAGGCAGGCATAGTGGTGCACCCCTCTAATCCCAGCTACTCGGGAGGCTGAGGCGGGAGAATTGTGTGAACCCAGGAGGCAGAGGTTGCAGTGAGCCAAGATCACGCCACTGCACTCCAGCCTGGAAGACAGAGCAAGACTGTCTCAAAAAAAAAAAAAAAAAAAGTTACATTACATTGAAAGGCAAAAACAGAAAATGGTGATTTCAACTACTGCACTGTCTATATTGGGAAGGATTCATTTGTGTGTGTTCCTTTTCTACCCTGTTTTTAGAGACACGATTATTTACAATGTGGCAGAGAAAACAGGTACAATTTTGCTGTGCAATATGCTGGAATTTAAAATGACTTAGTGGCTGCCACCGAATTTTTAACACCTACCAAATTCTATTCTGTGTTCCCAGAAGCTGGTTTGTCTCCCCGATAAACTATATGCTCCCTGAAGGAACACTGAATCCCATTTGTTCATTAATTCGACAATAATTCATTGAGCACTATCTGCCCAAGGCTGTTTGGATTGCCAGGGGTACAGTGGTGAATGGAGCTGCCTAAGTGGCCTTCTGGGACTTCACATTCTAGTTATCAGAGCCAATAAATAGGATAAACAAATAAAAAATGCAGTATGTTATATATGGACAGACGCAAAGTAGCAAAGTACACCAGGGAAAGGAGATAGGATAGCAGAGAGCTGACAGGGGACTGGAGACACAGAGGGAGTGAGGAGCCAGCTGGGCAGACGGGTGAAGAAACAGTATTTTGAGCACAGGGAAGAGTAAATATGGACCCCCTGGTGGAGCATGCTGGCTTCCCCAGGAACAGCAAGGCCAGCGCCTGTGCAGGGAGTGGGGTGTGGGGTAGAGGTCAGGAGCTTGGGGGGAGCACACTGGTCACCATGAAGGCTCTGGCTTTTATCTGGAGTGCAACAGGAGCAGCACAGGAAGGCCGTGAGTAGAGGAGTGACTGGATCTGACTTGTGTTCTCAGTAGGGACACTCTGGCTGCTACAGGAGAGCAGAGGATAGCGGGCAAAGCTCAGCAGCCAGGAGACCTGGCTTAGGTTTGTTACAGGAACCAGGTGAGAACAGGCCCCGACTAGGGCAGTGGCAGTGGATGTGGTGACAGCAGTGTGAGCTCTGAACTTGTTTTGGAGGATTGACTGCTGGACAGATGCTGGGTTGGAGAAAGAAAAGGATGACTGTGTGGGTGTGGCCACAGCAAACTGAAGCCTGGGGCTGCCTGTTCACTGGGAAAGGGAAGATTGTGGAGTCTGTGGGTGGGGTGCATTGGGGAGACTGGGGGTTCCGTTTCAATGTGCCGAGATTTTTTTTTTTTTTTTTTGAGACAGAGTCTCACTCTGTCGCCAGGTGGGAGTGCAGTGGCACAATGTTTGAGATCTTTTAGACAACCATGTAGAGACGTCACCTGGGCAACTGGAAAAGAGGATGGAACCAGGAAGGAGCAGCCAAGGTGGGCATTAGGAGCACACACATAGCATCGAAAGCTGTGAACCTGGATGAGATCTCCCAGGGAGCGCGTACGGACACTGACCTATGGCTGGGGATACTTAAGCACTTACTCATTCACCAAACACATAAGCTGGGCCTACGCTGTGCCAGGCACTGTTCTGGCTACTGTGCATATCACAGTGCAGGAAGCAAACACCGTAACCTGCAGGCTCTTACATTCTAGAAAGGGAAAGGCAGACAACGATATGACATGTTCCAACTCTGGGAGCTGAGAAGGAGCGGCAAGAGAAACTGAGAAGGAACAGCTAGTGAGGGAAGAAGAACACCAGGCGAACAGCTGCCTGAAAAGCCAAGGGAAGAAAGCTGTCTCCGGGAAGGAGTGATCGGCCCACTGTAACCGCCAGATCAGAAAGAGAAGGACCGGCCAGGCGCGGTAGCTCATGCCTGTAATCCCAGCACTCTGGGAGGCCGAGGCGGGCGGATCACCTGAATTCAGGAGTTTGAGACTAGCCTGACCAACATGATGAAACCCTGTCTCTACTAAAAATACAAAATTAGCTGGGTGCGGTGGCGCATGCCTGTAATCCCAGCTACTCGGGAGGCTGAGGCAGGAGAATCGCTTGAACCCAGGAAGTGGAGGTTGCAGTGAGCTGAGATCGCACCACTGCACTCTGGCCTGGGCGACAAGAACGAAACTCCATCTCAAAGAAAAAAAAAAAAAAGGACTGCCAGGCACGGTGGCTCACGCCTGTAATCCCAGCACTTCGGGAGATCAAGGCAGGTGGATCACAAGGTCAGGAGTTTGAGACCAGCCTGGCCAACACAGTGAAACCTCGTCTCTACTAAAAATACAAAAATTAGCTGGGCGTGGTGGCAGGCACCTGTAATCCCAACTACTTGAAGGCGTTGAAGGCAGGAGAATCATGCGAAACTAGAGGTGGAGGTTGCAGGAGCCGAGATCATGCCACTGCACTCAGCCTGGCAACAGAGCTAGACTCCGTCTCAAGGAAAAAAAAAAAAGAAAGAGAAGGACCAAGAACAGACTATTGAATTTTATGGAAGTCAACGGCGACCTTGCCAAAGGAGCAATTTTCCATGTGAAGTGCTGAGGAATGAAATTCCAGAGAGATGGGAGGCAGCTGCTACAAGAAACACCAGTCCGGCTTTACTGAAAAGGTACAGGAACAAATGAGACACAGTGGCTACAGGGACAAGGGCTAAGAAGAAGAAAATAATAACTTTGTGTAGGCTGATAGGGAAGACCCAGGGGCAGTTGTGGACAAGCGGGGAGGTAGGATGAGCTTTAGCGATGAGGACAGGGGCTAGCTTTTGCTAGGAGCAGTTCAGTTACATGAGCTAGAGAGAAGGCATGGAATTCAGCCTGGGTGCTGGAGGGAGGGGAGTTGGGGGCAGGGGACACTGCTCGCAGGCAAGGTTCTGAGTGGGCAGAGTGGAAATACACCAGGCTGCCAGGTGTAATGGCTCACGCCTGTAATCCCAGCACTTTGGGAGGCTGAGGTGGGCAGATCATTTGAGGTCAGGAGTTCAAGACCAGCCTGGCCAACATGGTGAAACCCCGTCTCTACTAAAAATACAAAAATTAGCCGGGTGCGGTGGCGGGCGCCTGTAAGGCAGGAGAATCACTTGAACCTGGGAGGCGGAGGTTGCAGTGAGGCTAGATTGCACCATTGCACTCCAGCCTGGGTGACAGAGACTCCGTCTCAAAAAACAAACAAACAAACAAACACCCCTGTGAAACTCACACTCACACTTATGTACATGCATGCTCGCTCCCTCACTCCGCTACCTCCCTGGTCCAGCCCGCAACACAGGATCTGGCCAAGGTATCCTAAGCCAGATCCCTAGGTTCTACTCAAACTAACAGCAGTGAGGGCCACGCGCGGTGGCTCATTCCTGTAATCCCAGCACTTTGGGAGGCCGAGGCGGGCGGATCATGAGGTCAGGAGATCGAGACCATCCTGGCTAACACGGTGAAACCCCATCTCTACTAAAAATACAAAAAATTAGCCGGGTGTGGTGGTGGGCGCCTGTAGTCCCACCTACTTGGGAGGCTGAGGCAGGAGAATGGCGTGAACCCGGGAGGTGGAGCTTGCAGTGAGCCGCCATCGTGCCACTGCACTTCAGCCTGGGTGACAGAGTGAGACTCCGTCTCAAAAAAACACCAGTGAGACAGAGAGGCTCCTCTTTCCATTACTTGTCAATGGGTCACTGTGGCCCACCTCCTCTCCTGGCCTGAATACTGTCCCCATCCTTCTCCGGCAAGGTCCTTAGAAGGTTCTAGTCTTCCCGGACCACCTCACATTCACATTCATCAGCTCAGCTAACCTGACCATGGGTGGCCTTTGCCAACTGTTAAATCCATGATTTTTACACCTCTAATGTTTTTTAAAGTGTCAGGATCTTTATTTAAATAAAGTCTTCAGAGAACTTCAATACGTACATAACAACACAGAAAGTAGAGACATTCTGGTCGAAGCCTCACGGGTTTCTGAGAAATCTGTCCAAGCTTTGGGTTCGCGAGACCGTCTGAAACCACAGGTCCAGAGCCTCTGCTCTGAAAAGAACCGCCACGGGGACCGTGGTTTTTAAAGATTTACTGCCTCCAGCCTAAACTCCTGGACACAGAGTTTTGGAGGACAAAGGCTGTCTCACTCTCGCCATCTCCCAGGGTGCTTCCCTTGGGCACAGCCTCCAGGAACACTTGTCAATCACTTAGGTCTCTTCTGTGGTTTCCCAAGCATCTCCAGCCTCCATGAAGGCTGCCACTGCTGACAACACCCGGCAATCGCCTCTGCCCCTCTCAGATCACTCAAGCAGCCTGCTGAAGCCCCTTCCTCTCAGACTTTGCCCACTCACCCCAAAGAAACCTACAATCTCAGGGATTCTCTTCTCATCTACTCACCACTCCAGATAGGTGGAGTTTGCGCACAGGGTACCCCAGGACTCGAAATGAAGGCTCCCTTTCGAGAATGAAACCAGAAGACCCATTAGACAGTGGAAGAGGTCAGCCATTTAGAGCAGGGATCCACCGGAGAGAACCAGGAGACTCGGGACACGTTCAAGTCCAAGCAGCACACACGGTCTCAGGGAGCCAGGAATGGAATGTGACTCAAGCTGAAACTTGAGACAGTTAAAACTGTGATCTATGTGAAGGGGTGAGGCCTGCCTCGAGATCAGAAAAAGGGGGGCCCAAATTTAGGCAAATAAATAAAAGCAACTACGCACACATGCGAACACACAGAGAGCTCTCTCTGAAGGATACCAACCAAATTAAGAGTATTATAGCAGTGAACACAAAGAAAAATCTTGTGAGGGGTGAGTGGAGTGTGACTAAAGGAGTGTATGATACGCTGACTTTTTTTTTTTGTTTTTTTTTTGAGACCGTCTAGCTCTGTTGCCCAGGCTGGAGTACAGTGGTACAATCTGACTGGAGTACAATCAGAATTTATTGCAGCCTCAAATTCCTGGGCTCAAGTGATCCTCTTGCCTTAGGCTCTAGCCTTAGTAGGGACTAGAGGTGCACACCAACATGTCCAGTTAATTTTAAAATTTTTCTATAGAGATGGAGTCTCCTTATGTTGCTCAGGTTGGTCTCGAATGCCTAGCCTCAGGCAATCTTCCCACTTTGGCATCATCCCAAAGTGCTGGGAATGACAGGTGTGAGCCACTGTGCCTAGCCAAGGCTTTTTTCTTTATGCAAAAAAGCACACCTGTCATCTCAGAACTTTGGGAGGCCCAGGTTGGAGGATTGCTTGTGCCCAGGAGTTGGAGACCAGCTTGGGCAACACAGGGAAAACCTGTCTCTACAAAAAATTTAAAAATTAGCCTGGTGTGGAGATGCAAGCCTGTGGACCCAGCTACTCAGGAGGCTCTGGCAGGAGGATAGTTTGAGCCTGGGAGTTTGAGGCTGCAGTGAGCTATGATGGCGCCACTGTACTCCAGCCTGGGCAGGGTCTCTATCTCAAAAAACAAAAACAAAAACAAAAACAAAAGCACAACTGCTTTTCGAGAGCCCTATTCTCAGGAGAGCCTCCAGCCACCTCGTTGGCCATCATCTATGGCTCTAGTTCCAAACACACATTTCAGACAAGTTGGTACAAGCAGACATGCACCCCTGACCCACTCACTTCTTCAAGAAGCATTTCCTGACCGCCTATAAACTATGCTTGGCATGGAGAGGTGAACAGACGACTAGGCTCGGTCTCTGCCCTGCTGGACTACATTCCAGGCTCATCCTAATTCTGTCTGCTGGGTCACATGTGGTTGGCAGAACGATGCCCCTCACCCCCCACCAGATGTTCATGTTCTAATCCCTGGAACCTGTGAATGTTTTGTTACATGGCAAAGGGGAATGAAGGCTACAGATGAAATTAAGGTTGCTCATCAGCGGACTAAAAAAGAGATTATCCTGGACTATCTGAGTGAGCCCAATATAATCATGAGGGTCCTTGAATGGGGAAGACGCAGATAAGCCGGAACCTAGGGCAGTATCTGAGAAAGACTCTACTAGCCTCTGCTGGCTTTGAAGATGGAAGGAGGCCACAAGCCAAGAAATGCAGGCAGCCTCTAGGAGCTGGGCAAGGCAAGAAAATAGATTTTCCCCTAGGGCTTCCAGGAAAGAACACAGCCCTGCCAACACCTTCGATTTTAGCTCAGTGAGACCCATTTTGGACCTCTGACCTCCAGAATTGTGAAATAAATTTGTGTTTTGTTTTGATTTTAGGGAGGGTCTCATTCTGTCATCCAGGCTGGAGTGCAGTGGTGTGATTGTAGCTCATTGCAGCCTTGAACTCCTGGGCTGAAATAATCTTCCTGTCTCAGCCTCCCAAGTGGCTGGGACTACCGGCACAAGCCATGTGTGTTGTTTTAAGCCACTACATTTGTGTCATTTGTTACAGCAGCAAATAGGAAACTGACGTAAGGACCATGGGGAAGAAGGAACCATTTCTTTGAGAAATGGTTTTCCCTTTTGGAAAAAGGAATGGACATCTGGCTTTCTATACGAGCTATTTTTGTAAGGGCCAAATCAACCATATGTAACTTTTTTTTTTTTTTTTTTTGGAGACAGACTTTCACTCTGTTGCCCAGGCTGGAGTGCAATGGCGCCATCTTGGCTCACCGCAACCTCCACCTCCTAGGTTCAAGCGATTCTCCTGCCTCAGCCTTCCAAGTAACTGGGATTAGAGGTGCCTGCCACCATGCCTGGTGATGTGCCCGCCTCTGCCCACCTCAGCCTCCCAAAGTGCTGGGATTCCAGGCGTGAGCCACCGCGCCTGGCCTTGTATGTAAGCTTCTTAAACTCAGTAGGACACCAAACAACACAAGCACTTACTGCTATTATGAGGCAATTTACTGAGCTGGTGTCCCCTGGAGGTGTCTGTCCACTGCTCATCTCGTCTATTCCCTGGACATCTAACTGAATTGTTGAGTGGCCCCATCTGGGCCTCAGCACCACCAAGGTAAGGTGGGCACCCCTCAGGCTCTAGCTAGAACAAACTGCATGTATGGATATCAGTATCAGTCTCCTGGGAAACACTGGCCTTGGTCATTGGAAATCCAATGACCAATTCCAGGAAACAAGGAAACACTAAGAAAAGCCCACCTGGCCAGGTGTGGTGGCTCACACCTGTAATCCTAGCACTTTGGGAGGCTGAGGCAGGTGGATCACCTGAGGTCAGGAGTTTGAGACCAGCCTGGCCAACATGGCAAAACCCTGTCTCTACTAAAAATACAAAATTTAGCCAGGCGTGGTGGCGCACACCTGTAATCCCAGCTACAAGGGAGGGTGAGGCAGGAGAATTGCTTGAACCTGGGAGGCAGAGATTGTAGTGAGCTGGGCTTGTACCACTACACGCCAGCCTGGGCAACAGAGCAAGATTCCGTCTCAAAAAACAAACAAAAAAAGAAAAGCTCAGCTTTCGGGCCAGCCTCCCTCATCATTCAGATCCCCCTGTCCCGGCCCCGTGTCCCAGGAAACCTGGGCACCACCCACCCCTACCCTGGGCTCTGCCACAGAGCAGCCTCGTGGAGGCCTGGCCCAGGAGCGCTGCCTGAGAGGCCTCTACTGTGCTTCCCTCTCAGGAGGGCTCACCTGGAGAGGGGCTCTCTGCCTGGGGAAGGCCTCCTTCTGCCTCTTCCCTGTCTTTGGGTGAGTCCTTGCTGTCTGGGCCCCTGAGCTGGGTGTGGGAGAAGAGCTGCAGGACGAAGCCGGCGGGGAAGCTGCCATCAGTGAAGTGTCGGACCTCGGCTGGTGCTGCGAAAGTCTCTGTGGGTGAGTCTGGCGATGGGGGCTCTGGAAGGGAGGACAGGATGGAACTGTGAGTGAAAAAGCCTCAGGAGCTGCAGGCGCCCTGCGCCCGAGCCCTGCTCCATCCTCACTGACGCGGATCTCCTCAGAGCACCCGCCAGAGCCCATGCCTCCCCCGGGCCTCCCCTTCACCTGGGTCAGGGTCCAGGTTTTTGGTCATAGGTCTGCCTCTTTTCTTTCTGACTGGCTCTTCCCCCAGGGGCTCCTTCCATCTCTGACCACGGGGCTTCTTATTTCCTGGCTCTGTGGCAGGGACAGCTGCAAAAAGAAAAGACCTCATACCCTTCTTAGGAGGCCATCCTCAAACCCTGCCACCCCAGGGGAAGATACCTGCCCAGAACACAGGGCCTGTATTTCACCCTGTCCCCAAACCCCCACCTCCACCGGGGCTCACTGGCTTTTCTGCTGACTAACCAGGAAGCTCGAGGGGACGGAGTCCCCTGGGCCGGCTCCTTTTAGGGAGGGACGGGTTATCCTCAGAGTCAAGGAGAACGACGATTTCGGCTGGCATTCTGGCAGGGTCTGGGTTGGAGTCTGGGTCTGGATGGGCATCCTGGCCTGAGTCTGCAGGGAGCAAGAGCACAATGAGCTTCCAGTGCCCCAACAAATCCGACTTCTCCCTTGGCCCACCCCAGGCCCAACTACCTGAGTTGGGTGGGGACGGCTGCTCAGCTCTCACGTCTTGCAAGAGGGCTACCCCTTCACTCCAGGCCTCCAGGATGTTGCTCTTCTCAGAAGGGCTCAGGTCCAAGGTGTGAGGGTGCTGCTCCAAGATGTGTGTGCGAGCCGTGTCGGCCGAGGGTGCCCGGATCTCAGCGCCACACACCATGCACAGCGCCCGCCCGCTGCCTCCTGGGCTGCTGCCCACCAGGAACTCCTGCTCCCAAGACACTTGCTGCTTGGGCTCCTCACAGCCATCACTGCCTGCCTCCAGCGGGCTGGGTCTAGGTGGTGGGGTCTTCTCCTGTTGGGTCACTGCGAGGGGAGAGGGGAAGGGTGTAATCACGAAAGGTGCCCACAACCGACAGCACTTAGCACGTCTCTAGACTCGGTGGTTTGAGTGGGATGGGGGAGGAGAGCATTTCTGTCCAAAGTGTTCTTCTTCCTTCCCCTGGAGCCCACGAGGCACACACCACACTCAACACAGCCAATGTGCCTGGGATCCCACGACCCTCGCGTCTATACTTCCTCTTGATCTAGTCTTGGACCTTAAGACTACACATACTTTCCCAACAGGCTGCGTTCTTGCAGGTCTCCAGCTTTTGCACATCTGTCCAGACCACCGATTTGGCTGGGCAACGCTGTCCCTGCGAAGCTTTCCGGAAACCCAATCCCTGACATTAGATTTCATCCACATCTGACTTCTACGCTTTCTTGAGGGTGAGGAAGGTAAATTCTTTTAATTTTTAAATGTTATTTATTTTGAGACAGAGTCTCACTTTGTCACCCAGGCTGGAGTGCAATGGTGCAATCTCAACTCATTGCAGCCTTGACCTCCTGGGTTCAAGCGATCCTCCTGCCTCAGTCCCCCAAGCACCTGGGACTACAGGTGAGTGCCACCACGCCTGGCTGATAATTTTTTTTTTTTTAAAAGAGATGGGGGACTCATTTTGTCACCCAGGTTGTAGTACAGTAGTGTTATCATAGCTTACTGCTGCCTTGAACTCCTGGACTCAAGGGACCCTCCAGCCTTAGGCACCTGACTGGCTAGGGCTACAGGCAGATGCATGCTATCACACCCAGCTAATTCACAACAACAAAAATTTTGTTTAACAGATGGGGTGTTGCTCCGTTGCCCAGGCTGGTCTTGAACTCCCGGGCTCAAGCAATCCTCCTGCTTCAACCTCCCAAAGTGCTGGGATTATAGGCATGAGCCACCGTGCCCGTTCTAAAGGCCACCCCGTCCCCTCAGAACTAGCCTCCCTTCTCAGTGCTCACAGAGCATTTACAGCCATGGTTCCACTCCAGTTGCTGCCTGATACCTGCTCTTTGTGCACACAGACCATAAGCTCTCACAGAGCATCAGCCCTTTCCAGTTCAGCAAGGAAGGCAGCCTTAGACCTGCATCAGCCTGGAAGCTCAGTGCTTTTACGAAGTGCCCATGATCCTTCACGGCTGCATCTCTCTCCTACCCTCCAGAGAGGATGGGACAAAATTAAAACACAGGAGGCTCTAATACCTGGGGGCTGCATGGAAGAGGTGGTATTAGAAATAGGAGCCTCGGCTTGCATGGATACAAGAGGTGGTGTCTGAAAGAGATACGAGATACACCTTCTACCTATCTCTCATGCGACCATGGGCAGAAAACCTGACCTCTCAGGTGCAATCGGCTTTCTTCCCTACCAGTCCTCCAAAACAGTTCTCACCCAAGTCAGCAGCGCTAAACTCTGGGCTCAGTTTCTCAACTTCATCCTCTGCCCATCACTTCTTCCATCTTGATTTTCATCACTTGCGTCTAGGGCATGACCTTCTGTTGGTTCTTCTTTTGCTTCCCTGGCACTCTTTCTCAGTTACGTGTGCTGGTTCTTCCTCATCTCTTCTCAATATTCCCTCTCTTCCTCTGGGTTGTTGCTGAAGAACCATCTCCCCTCACCAGAGCACCCCATTCCCCTTATGGATCATCTCCAACACAGCACACATCACCACCTGATACTTGTTTTTGGGATGTTCACTGCTTGTCTCCTCACCACACCATAGAATCCATGACCATGGCCAGGTGCAGTGGCTCACACCTCAATCCCAGCACTTTGGGAGGCCGAGGCAGGCGGATCACCTGAGGTTGCAAGTTCGAGACCAGCCTGAGCCACAGGGAGAAACCTCATCTCTACTAAAAATACAAAATTAGCTGGGTGTGGTAGCGCATGACTGTAATCCCAGTTACTCGGGAGGCTGACGCAGGAGAATCACTTGAACCAGGGAGGTAGAGGTTGTGGTGAGCCGAGATTGTGCCATTGCACTCCAGCTTGAGCAAAAAGAGAGAAACTCCATCTCAAAAAAAAAAAAAAAAAAAAAAGAGAATCCATGACCACACAGATTTCTGATGTTTTACATCCGTATCTCTGGCATCTGTATCTGTATCTCCTGGCATGCAGTGACATTTAGTAATGTGTGATGAGGGACTGACTCGGTTTCCAACCTGCCATCACTGGAGTTTCCCAGGACTCAGTTCTTACACACTTCTCTACTTCCCTCTCATCCCACTGTCTGCCTGCTGGCAATTTCCGTTAACGCCACTAGCCAGATACTCCCAGGAAATCTAGGCTCATGTATCTGACTGCTTAGTTGACCTCTCCACTTGAATATGTCATAAATAGGCATCTCAAACTTAATTATATTCAAACTTTCATTCCCAGTTTCCCATGAGCACCGCAGCGTTCCCCATCTCAGAAAATGGGAAGGCTGTTCCTTCAGTTGCTCAGGCCAAAAACCTTGAATTCAATCTTTCTTCCACTCTCCACTGAAATCTTTCCAGCAGCTTGTGCTGCCGGACCTTTGCACTTACTATTCGGCCTGAAATGCTCTTCCTGCAGGTATCTGCAAGGTTGGCATCCTCACTTCCTTTGGGTCTGTGCTCAAAATTCACCTTATTAGAGAACACTTTCTGAACCACTCGATATATCCAATTAAACACCCATTCCCCCTTTCTCCTTGTCCTGCTTCAGTGATCTCTGAACCATTTATTGCCACCCAACATACTATACATGAACCTATTTCTCTGTCTTTAGTCATTGGTATATATATGTTCTTCAAGAGTAAGGTTTCAGCTGCTCTGTTTACTGCTACTACTTCCCAGCCTAAAAACACTAGCCTAAACAGCCTAAAGTAGACGTCCAGTGAATATTGGTTGAATGAATTCACCTGTCTATTCCCACCCTAACAGTGGGGGTAAGGCCACCCTTGCAGGGTTGAGAGGATTAACTGAGACAGCCTCCGACAATGCCCAGTGAACACTCAGCAAATATTAGCAGAAGTAGGAAAACAACCTGTCTTTTGGACTACATGCTCCGAGAAGGGAGGTGACCTTTATTTCCCTCATGAATTTTATAACCCTTCCAGTTCCAAAAAGGATGAGAGGCAGTGCAGACAGACATCATTCTGTTCGGCTGAGGTTCAATGAATGGCCTTGCTGCTCTCAACCTCTTCTGGGTACTGTCCCCCCAAAGAAAAGGCGGGTGGGAGAATGGAAAGATATTTGCATTTTCATGCATATTAAGTCTCCCACAAAGATGGCTCTTTGTTTTCTTACGGTTTGCAAGTTCCTGAGGACTAGAAATCGGTGAAGGGGGAGGGGAGAGCGAGTGTTCTCAGACTGTTCTTCCCATCCCCTCCCAAAGCTAATCTCATTCTAGCACTGCACTGCTTTTCCAAACTAGCTGTTGTATGCAGTCCCATTCATCCCTTCTCTCCAGAACCTGACACCTGTGGCTCCTGCAAGTGGAAGGCCCGGGAATGGGGATGAAGCGGGGTGGTGGGCAGGAAAGAGTCATGCTCGGGGAGTCCTTAAAATTCTCCTGGAGGTCGGCAGCGGCGCCCGCCTGTAGCCTCGGGCCTATAGGCTTCGCCGCCCCTCGGCCTAGAACACAGCCCGGCCGTTGTGCTTGCGTGAGACGGCGGCCTCAACCACCCAGCGCCTCTGGGGATCCGGCCTCCGGTGCTGGGCCCGGGAGAGGGGGCGCCTGGGCACCGGAAGATCCGGAGCGTGCGGGGCGTGGATCGAAGTCTCCAGACCCTGGGCGGGGGAAAGGGGGAGGGAGGGGAAAATCGAGGAGGCCTGAGCTTCCAAACCATGGTGGGGGAGGTGCAAGAGCGCGTCCTGGACCCAGATCCGAGAGGGAAGCCTGGGCCCCAGGATGAAGGGGATGAGACGGTGCCCGGGTCGCGGACCCGACTGGGGAGGGACGGCCCCGACCCCGCACCGTGACGCGGAAGTGGGATCTCCTCCATCCTCACCTCTGAGCATCGGCTCGGGCCGCGGAATTACGGCCACCACCATGGCCTCCTCCTCGTCCTCCCCTTCCTCGCATTTGAGCGTCACCTCGAAGCAGTCGAGTGCGGCGCCCTCGGCCTTTAGGGCCATGGTGCGGCCGTGGGCGATAGCGGTGGCCGGAGAACTGGCGCGCAGGCTTCGCCGCGCAGCCGGCAACCGCCTCCCGCCTCCTGGCCGGAACAACGCCGGGCCCGCTGCCCGCTCCGCGCAGCCCCCTCCCCGCCACCTGCCCGCCTGCCGCTCGCCGGCCGGCGCTGCGACCGGCGCGTCCGGGCCTCCCCGAGACCTCGGCGCGTCGGGAGCCCGGGCGGGGAGGGCTCAATCCGGGGCCCCTGCCCCCCGCCGCTCCCTTTTATGGAGGCTCATTGTCGGCGCCCGCCCGGCCGGCCAGCCGCGGACCCGCCCCCGATCCCGCGCGACCAATCGCGCGTGGCCCCGCCCCGGGCACGCGGCCCCGTTGGAATCCCTCGACCCAGGAGGCGGCGGGAAGGGCCGAGCGGACCCGGGGCCGCCCAGTGCGCTGAGGCAGAGGGGCCCGCAAAACCCGCACCGCGAACGTCTTAGTCGACTGGCCAAGCTCGGGGATTTCCCTCCGTTCAGAAGTCAGCTGGGCGTTTCTGCTGGCGTGGAGAGCGCTACCAGGTGCCCCCGGATTTTGGTCCGGAGTCGCTTTTGCCTTTCCGTGGACAAGCCTTCCTCCGCCAGCAGATGCCCCGGGCAGGAAGAGAAGCGGTGGGGGAGTGGAAAGGGCCTTGGTATGGAAGCGTAGAGACCGAATTCCTTCTCATGTGCCGGCTCTGTGGCCATGGGCACATTATCTGTTTTATTAGACCGGCTCATCGTTTCTTTCAAAAACCATTTCGGACCTTTCTGGGAAGGCAAAGAAGAGGAGCGGAGTGGACTGTGAGCGGACGTAAACCACCCTGATGGGTATGATTTCCATTTTTTACACGTGAGTCCAGAGATTTTGTGACCCTCTCCAAGGACATACAGCAATCCCTTGAGAGCCCCAAGACCAGAGTCCAGTTGCCATGACATTGCTTCCCTATAACCACACTCTGGGTGAGCTTTTACTTCTGTGACATGGAATGTGCATCTCCCTGTTCTATAGCAACCCTCATGAGATTTCAGCTCAGAAAATGCAAAATGTCTGACACTGAAAAAACATCTTCAAATGTCGTTATATCAAACCAGACACAGTAGTATTCAGAATCGCGTAGTAGGATGGGGGTATGAGAAGAGGTGTGAACTAGTCTATATGGATTGCAGTCAATTTTTTTTATTATTATTATTTTGAGACAGAGTCTCCCTCTGTCACCAGGTTGGAGTGCAGTGGCGCCATCTTGGCTCACCACAACCTCCGCCTCCCGGGTTCAAGCGATTCTCCTGCCTCTGCCTCCCGGGTAGCTGGGACTGCAGGTACGTGCAACCACGCCCGGCTAATTTTTGTATTTTTAGTAGAGACGGGGTTTCACCATGTTGACCAGGATAGTCTCGATCTCTTGATCTCCTGATCCGCCCGCCTCGGCCAAAGTGGGATTACAGGCCTGAGCCACCGCGGCCGGCCTTGCTGTCTATTTTTAAAGGAATTATTTTGTTGTGTGCAAGTGTATCCGGTATTTTAAAGGTTTTACAATAAAGGTTTTACCAAGCCTGTTTATTTCTAGTGAATAGTCATCCTCTACCGTTTGCTACAGATCCCTTCCGTGCCTCTTTGCTCTGCTCTAGATTGCAGTGGGCTGAGTCTTGTAGGGGGCAGTTTCTCAGACTCCCAGAGCATCTGGCTTCAGGCCTCGCTCGGTTTAGCCAATGGGAGGCAGTGGCAGTAGAAGAGAAGGCAGGAGGAAAGAAAAAACCAGAGTATTTCTTCTCTTTCTCTCTCTTGCTCAGGCTCAGATGACATCTCCAGCAGCAGATGAGGCCTCTCTGTGGCTCCAGCTCATGGATAGGTAGCTGTGGTCCCAACATCTGTAGGGTGATCCATGCCCCTGAGCTCTATTCAGTTGGCCTCCTCTTTTTGTCCCTGCAGGTTAGGAGGGACAGCTTCTTGCTTTTGCTAATCTCTGTACTGCCTCTCTCTGTCCCCTGCTGGGCTTTCCAGACCTCCCATTACCCCTGTTAATCATGTCACCAAAACCCTGCATTACATTCTCTCTGTTTTCAATACTTAAAGTGGTTCCCTCCTGGTAGGGCCCAGTGGCTCACACCTGTAATCCCAGCAGTTTGGGAGGCTGAGGCAGATGTCTCACTTGAGGTCAGGAGTTCGAGACCAGCCTGGCCAACATGGCGAAACCCCGTCTCTACCATAAAAAAAAAAAAAAGAAGAAATTAGCCTGGCATGGTGGTGTGTGCCTGTAATCCCAGCTACTTAGGCGGCTGAGTAAGGAGGATTTTTGTTTTTTTAGAAACAGGTTATACATATTGTCAGGCTGGGACTTCAAGCATCAACCGTGCCTTCAAGCCTCCCAAGTTCTGGAATCACAAGGTGTGTGCACGTGCCGGCCCGATTCACTTTTTTGGAAGCAATTGCTACTTCGCTTTTTTAGCAAAATTCTGTCAGTCCAGCTGGGCATATGGTGGTTTACACCTGTAAATCACAAGCCCTTTGGGAGGCCAGTTGGGCTGATCTACTTGAACCCGGGAGCAGAAGGTTGTAGTGAGTCGAGGATCGGTGCCAACTGCAATCCAGCCTGAGCGGTGACAGAGTGAGACTCCCATATCAAGAAAAAACAAAAAAAAACAGATACCAGTTCTGACTGCCCCTGTTTCTGACCGAGTAATTCAATCACTGAACCAGTTTCCATATCCCTAATTCCGTCCATAGAACTATAGGAACAAGGCCAGATTTTAAGGAAGTTTCCTGAGGCCCTGAAGGTTTCCCTGGTGTATTCATCTTCGCTCACTGCAGCTAATTTAAACCCAATTTTTG